AGATTCGTATGGACAGCGCCATGAAAGAGCTAGAGGAAGAAGAGAGGCAGAAGAGACTGGGCCCAGGTGGTTTAGACCCTGTAGAGGTCTATGAGTCACTGCCAAAGGTAAACCATTCACACACGGTGGGACAAACTGATGGATGAAAGTAACAGCGTGGCACAACAAAATAGGTGTGAACAAGAACGTTGACACACAGTCGTTTTGAAGAGAGACCCTTGAAATAACTAAATCTTGATTCATTAGTTGTAATGCATTTATTTACAAGAAGACACAAACAATAAAGGTTGCGTTGTAGACAGTGTTTCACAAAGTATGTAATGCTTGTCCTGAGCAAGGTAATATTAAATTGTCAGATTTTTAAAAGGAGTTTGGTGACCTCATCTTTTTCTATGAGAAAGAAATGTATCAGTGTTTACTCTAGTTGTCTATCGTAAAAGTAACATCAATCATGATTATTATATAACCTAATTCAATTAAGGGTCTTTTAAATAACACAACCAATACAAAGTGTCTGGTTAAGATCCAACAAGGTCTGCAGTAGTCTAAACTTATTTTTTTCCTAATAATTAACATTTCATGTTTAAAAAATAGGAGGTTTCCACAATGTAAGCTAGGACGTTCACTATAAATGTTATGTCAGAGATGAAATATAACCTACACTGCAACTAAGAAAGTGTGTGTTGGCTACTCTACATCCCTGGAGGCTATGAGAGCAAACAGCTGGCCTGTTAGAGTATCTCCCATTTCATCCAGTTTACACACCACATCAATGATTACCTTGTTTTGCTGTACCAACAGAAGTTACAAGCCAGAAAATTCAATACTGCCCATACAAGCTAGCATTAGCCACATGGCTTTGAGTTATTGTGTTCATTTTTGTTATGTATGAGAGTACAAAACTTTGTTTACAGTATCGTTTTATATGGTATGTTGTTTATACTGAGAAGGAGAAGGAACACATTGAGATCCATTCAAATCTACCTTCTTTCCCACTTATATTTTTATATTCTGTTTTAATTTTTTTTACTGTGGCTACTAAAAGCTATTTAAAAAGGCCTTTCTACCTTGATTCTTGTGTAGTTTGTGCAAGAGACTGCATTTTTTCACAGATTTCAAAGCTGCTGTTTGTAGTTTTTGAAATAGTGTTTGTACAATCTGTTGATATGAACCGTGTTGCCATTTGGATAATCAGAGAAGTCAATACAGAGTTCAGCAGAATGGACTCCACCAGTCAGTCAGCAGCTCTCTGTGCAAGGTAAATAGCATCATTTGTATAAGCATTCAACCAAACTTCTTGGCAAAAATTATTTTTTTTATAAAAAGCCTAAACTTGTTATAATTTGATAAGTTTGTGTATTAAAAAATAAACTTTATGAAATTATGGACACAGTCGACGGTGCATGTTAAAGTGAACATATGCTGACATATGCTTTTTCCTCATTGGCTCACTCACTTCCCTACTGTTGGTTCACATTAATACTTTGGCTTTTTTTGTTTTATAGGAAATACAGAAGAGCTTTGATGAGAAGAACATTCAAATGTTGCAAATAGCTATCAACAAACTGGACCCGGACGTAAGTTGTTTGTAACTGAGCCTCAAAGTAAAATAGTAATTACCAAAAAAATAAAAGCAACAACAAACAAAGCCAGACGGTGACCAAATTGTATCTGTTTGTTAGTTCATTCATTCTGTCTTGAACTGGCATCACCGTGTTTCCCTTTATAGGAAGGAAAATACCACCTGAGGAGGTGTATTGACTCTGGACTGTGGGTCCCTGACTCAGGAGAGGGTGATGATGATGATAAAGAAGAGGACGAGGAAGAGGAAGAAGATTAAAAAGAAAAGGATTTTAAGTTAACATTCCTTGTTAATGAGTCCAACACTGTGCAAGTAATGCTCCATACATGCAACATAATGACGTATATATTTAATAACCATATGGACCATACCATCATATGATTTACTGGATTAGCAGACAAAAACACCTTTACAGCCTCTTTCAATTTTAAGCTACTTTCTGCAACCAAGTATAGTCAAAAAATGTAAAACTACAGAGTAAGGTTTCTTCTAGGCATGCCTCAGTTTTTATATTGCAGACACTTCGCCATGAATTGATGTGGAATCAGCTGATTTTCTATGAATCACCAGTTTACTCATGTGTATTAATCATCCTAAAAGAATACTCTCACATAAGAGACCTTGCAAAAGCCACCACACCCTCTGATGTCACCCTCCATGTTATTTTTGATGACGGCATCTTTACTCCTACATAATAATACTCATTTAGGTTTAAATTTCAGTTACTCACTGCATATTTAAATTCCATCACAGCTGGCCTCTGTGTCCTTACATTTGAAATCGTTCACACACCGTTTAAAAGTACCAAACAACATCACAGGTGTCACATACATTACCAGTGATGATGGTTTTATGAGAGTAACACAGCTACTGACTGGATGAGGAACAGTTGCCAAGATCTGGTTCTGAGACATTGGCTTACACTTCTGACATATAAAAATAATTTTGTATTTGAAGTTTAGTGTCTCATCACAGGCATCTACTAGTTACATATCAAACAATCTGCCTGCTTGACTGTATTTGTTACTGTGGTAAACAGCGCCACCTCAAGTCTGTTTAGGGACACAGCCCGTCAGAAGCCTCTAAAGTGAGGTAAGGACATAGATTGGTAAACACAGATCCATCTATTTACCTCTCTTATCATTAGTGAATTTTATATATTTTATCAGCTTATATCAGTTAGCCTCATATTGAGTGGATCATTCCCAAGCAAAGTGTGCTCAACATTCAAAGTGTTAAGACTGTCATTTGTGTCCAGTGCAATGGGAAGTTTGTTTTTTGCTAAGACTGCCAAAGGTGTTGACTCAACTATAAAGTGAAATATTTTCTATTTTTGAGGGCGTATCCTCGGCATGGTACAAACTACTGCTGGTACTTACTTATTGCAGATATGAACAATCAGTGTGTATGTTATCTCAGTTTTATCTCCTCCAGTACTGGAGGAGCTATAGTAAGAACCCACCACATCTCAGAGTAAACATGTCAAGATTCTGTTCAGTTGGATTAAATTGTAATTACAAAGCCCAAGCTAGCTTTGTAAATATGGGTATTTATTGATTGAGGTTGCAAGTAATGATTATTTCCTTCACTGATTAATCCGTGAATTATTCTCTTTATTAATCAGTTAAACGTTAAAGGTCTGTTTGCAGTGTTATAAAACATTTTTGAGAAGCTGGAAGAATGATCGACATTTCTGCATGAAAACCAAAATAACTCATTGAAAACCTTAATAGTTGCTGATTCATCTTCTGCAGATTGACAATCAATTAGGTGAGCAGTTGTTTCCAAAGTCAATTTAAAGATGATGTAAAGAGTGTGTCCAAGTTCTGCTCTGTAATGTAGGAGTTGTCACAGTACTTGTCTAGGGGTTTTACAAGCAATATGTGTTTTATTTTGTATTTACCTTTGAAGTTGTGAGACTGTTTGTTTTTACGTTGTGTTGTGGAACTTACAATAAATCAGGCTTGATTTGTTTGTGTTGAATTGATTAAGTTTTCCACTGGTTGCTGTGAATCCTGACTCATTTTCTGCCATACTTTCTCTCTCACTTGCATAATTAATTGCTAGGTCTCTCTTCCTCTCTCTCCTTCATAATTAATTGGTGGGTTTGATTTAGTGGCCTGTGCAGGATTTTTTTTTGAGGCAAAGCTTCTTTGTGCAGTCACTTTTGTAAATAGAAAACAATCAGCGCAGGCCTGGGGCATAAATCAAATCTAGATAATTCCTATAAAAGCTGATGGGAGAGAAACAGAATAGCGTCATAGCTTCATGCAGAACTGCTTGGGTGTGTTTATATCAATGCAGTCTCTTGCAACGTCTCTTAATGTGTGAATGTTAAAGTAATTGTGAAAAAGCGTTGAACTGGCAAAAGTCAGCGCAGGTTTTGTGTCTGAATGTAACTGTGATCATCAGAGGTTTTTCTAATGACATTTTGTGTACTATCACAGTGTCTGTCTTGTGGAACAATTACAAGCTCAGTCAGTGGACTGAAAATTAATCTGCAACTATTTTGATAATCGTTTTATGTCCGTCCTCAGGCACAAATGCCAGATATTCTCAGGATTTACTGAGAATAACTTTGTGTTTGGGACTGTTAGGTCAGATAAAACAAGCAATTTGAAGACATAACCTTGGGCTCTGAGAATATATGATGGGCATTTTTGGTGATCGGGCAGTGGATAAGAGACATGCCTTTGGTGTGAGAGACCCAGGTTCAATTCCCGCTACACATCCACCAATGTGTCCCTGAGCAAGACACTTAACCCCTTTGCTCCAGTGGTGTGCAACCTCTGACATATATAGAGCAATTGTAAGTCACTTTGGATAAAAGCGTCAGCTAAATGTAAATGTAAAATAGAATTTTTCTGACACCAAAAGAGGAACGACTTAATTGAGAAAACTATCCCCTGATTGATTGATTTTAAATTAATCTTTGGTTGCAGCCTTAGTGTCTTGTTTGTCATAAATTCACAATGTGCTGCTTAAACATTAAACCTTATTGCTGTTTGTTTTCCAGCTCTGGGAAGCTCCAAGCTCCAAGGAAGTATTCCAAGCTGTTCAAGATAAAAACAAGAGCAGCATCATTCCTGTTTTGGAGATGAAAATAGATCCTTGAATGAATGTAAGGGCATGGGGAGAAAAAACGACAGTGAGTACCAGAAACATGAATCCATATTGTGATTCGTTATGTGTATAATGGAGAGAAAGAACGCCTGACTGTTGAAGCAGAGAATCGGTGTGCGGCTGCTAATAAGAGGAATGGGAGAGAGGAGGAGCGGAGGCTGTTGTATGGGATTAATGGACACACTGTGTCTGGGCGGGAGGAGGGAGGGGAGGGGGAGATGGGCTTCTCCACGGAGGCTGTGGTGGTGGTGGTGGTGGTGGTGGGGGGTGGCTTGGGGGAGACCACTGTGGCAGGGGAGAGGGAGAGGAGAGGCAGGGAGGAAGGAAGGCTGGTGAAGCAGCGGATATTCATGAAGACGGCAAGTGTTTTTTTTTTCCTTCTTGCCGTGGTGACACACTGCTAGTCTGCAGAGAGACATAGGGAGCTATGAAGGAGACAAGTGAAAGCAAGAAGACGAGGCCCAGCCGATCTTTTCATTGATCTTGAGGCGATCAAGGTGAGTGTGTTTTTATTCTTACATGCTGCAGCCTTACTCTGTGTGTGTGAATGTGTGTATGTGTGTCTATCTGACACATATCTTGCAGTGTGTGTGCAGACAGGCACGATAACAGGGCTGTCCTCATGTATGCATGGTTTCAGTGTGCATATATATATTTATATTTGGGTGTTTTGTAGCAGAAGACCAGGCTGGTAGTTGAGCTGCATATTGATGCATTGCTGCTTGGTTTTATAAGCTCCTTTATCTGTAGTGGTACTGGTGGCAGCCATGGTGTGTGTATGTGCTTAAATTTCTCCTTGTCTCTCTCCATATATATGTCACTGTGTCACAATGCATTTGTTGATTTCTCCACAAAGACACCTTTTTTTAACTCAGTGAATCTGTGCAGCCTCTGGTGTGAGTATTTTCATTGAGTGGGTGTGTTCTTGATGACCCCTGGTAAAAGTCGTTTCAACCACTATCTGTCTGTGTACCAGCTCAGTCAGAAACACTGGTATACTGAATCTGTTCTATCCGATAGAATTAGGTCATCTCGGACTGCTCAGAGTAATTATATAACATCACAGAGCTTTGGTGTTGCAGTATCTGCTCAGAATTAGCCACACTGTAGGTACAGCTCCTGCAAAGCCAGGACAGCCAAAATATTTTGTTAGGACTGCACCCTTTATTAGTTGACCAATCATTTGTTTGGATATTAGTCAACAAATTGGGAATTTTATTAGTAATTCATTGTTGTTGTTTTTTTCCCCGTGCGTGTATTGTTAAAAACAATACGCATTTGTTCCCAAATATTCCCAAGCTGGTTTACATTACTAAAAGAATACTGTATATATGGGAAAATTATTTTCTCATATGATGCATTAAATAAATGAATTAAATCAAAGTAGGAGAGAAAGTTGAGGAAAGAAAGATGACTCAAAAAGAGAAAATTAGCTGACTGGCTGTTTTTGAATTCTTGCTCGTACTGATTCTTCATTTGTTTTTGCACAGGGAAGCCACACCGAAGAGGACACACTTAGACAGATTCGAGGATGGATCCCGGCATATCAAACCTGGGATTTTAACATCTGGACTTGACATCTTCTCGCTTTGCAGAGTTTGGATCCAACTGACCAATCAGACAGTGAAAAACTGATCTGAGATAGGAGAGATGTACAAATTATGGATTATTAATTGTTAGAAAACTGCATTCATGCGGGATCGGGTTTACAGCTGGGAAATGTCATGTGAACAATACTCCAAGTTGGATTAACTGTTTAGAAAACTTGGGAAAAGATTTTCTTCAGGAGTGACATCATGAACTCTGACCGGGAAATCCCATTGGCTTGTCTGGCCAAGACATGCTGACCAGAAACTCATAGTTTACACTAAAATGGAATTAGAAGTTTCTCTTTTTTAAAAGTTTTTCTTCCTTCCACCTTTGCCTTTTGAGAAAACATCAGATCAAAACAAAGGTCATCCAGCTCAGACTGAACGTGGAGCCTCTGAGGGGCACATAAATGCATCTTTAGCATTTACTGGCAGGTTGGAAGCCTGGTTTCAGCCATCTAAACACTGAGGTGTGGACAAGAGTGCGAGCGAGGCGGTTGGCTGGCTGAGTCAGCTCCAATGGGGGCCGGTTGTGACCCGGTCTGACCCCGGTTTGACCTTGCAGTGACCTCTGATCTCTCCGGTCCTGGCTCTCCACCTGCTCTGCTGCCTGGGTTCCGGAACGCTCCGCCCTGGGGCCCAGAACGAGCCAATCAGAATGAAGAAGAGCCGCAGCGTGCTGTCTGTGACGGGAGAAGAGGTGAGAAGGAGAATATAAACAACCAGGGATGTTCTGGAGAAAATCAGCTTACTTCACTTTTCACTGTCACTTGTTTCCATGAGAATAGATAACAGGCAGACTGTCAGACCTAGACTGTGTGTGTTTTCTTGATGACATATAAACCTCGTGACTTTCACACATCCAACGCTCCCTTTGTTCTTGTTTTCAAAGTCTGTGGACACACAAAGGAGTCTGAGTGAACATGAGCCTCCACTCTCTTCACCAGTGTGAACCACTCGGTCAGTCATAGTCCTCTATGTAAATGAGCCCCAGCTAAACGAGTGCTCTATGTAAATGAGCTATTTTCTTTTAAAGGTAACGTCTTGGCTGAAGGACGTAATACCATGCATTATTCAAGTACTCTATTATTGATTATGCTGATCGGGTGCCCATACATTTGTGTGTGTGGTTGTGCGTATTGTATGTGTGTGTGTGTGGATTGGAGCATCTTTCCACATCTGGGTCTGGACGACATCAAACGCAGCGTGGAGGCAACACGGCACTGTTGCCTAGCAACTGCTACCATTCCCCCAGTGTTTTGGTGCTACGGTACTGCAGTGCAGATCAGCCTCTAAGAGCTCAGTCTGTGGAGGCCTCATCCCAGACGCACACACATGTAGCCTAACACACACACTCACACATGCATGCAAACACACAAACATTTATAACTTATATGGTCTGTTTATGGTTTTAGTTTTTTCACTCAGCAGAATTTGAATATGGCAAGTCAACATGTTTTGATAGGACCAAGTTCTTTCATTTTTATTACATGCTCTGAATTAGATACACACTACTAATTGTTTTATTTACAAAGAAACAAATGTGTCTCTCTTGCTCCATGTCTCTGTTTCCCTTACTTCCCCTCCCCTCCCCCGTCTCACAGAGTAATGACATAGATATAACAGGTGCTGGGGAGAAGGCGGAGTCATCTCGCTACAGCCGGTCTTATACATCTGGGGCCACACTAGGGGCTGAACTACGCAGAGGGAGGAGCAGAAGACTCTCGTCTAGTCTTCAGGTATTGAAAGGAAGCATGGGTGCATTAACCTGCTCTGGGCCCTGGGGCAAAAATGAGCATCAACAAACATGTGAGCATAATATTAAAGGACCATCCCGTTGATTTAAAAGCGATTTATTTTCCCTATCATTGCATGGATTCAATTCATTTTGGTACCATATAAAGACATGCTTGAGTTGTTTAATCGATCCCAGTGAACATTAACTTACATTGTCATTACAAGGAAATGCAGTGGAGACTTTCCAAATCAATTTGTGCATAAAGTGCACAATGCCACAATAATGTAACACTGGGAACATTTAATGGAAACTTGATGTTCACTAAGATAGATTAAAGCTGAAATAATAATATATTCATATTAACAGTAGATCAAATGACTTGGTGTGATGTAAAAGGGGTCCCTTGTGGTGACAAACCCACAGATAATTATCTCGTAGCTCCTCATTGTTTTGCCTGCAACTTCACTGTTTTGTTTTAGCAGCAGCAGGCAGCTGTTTTAAGGGAAATACTGAAACCACTGTTAACTGTCTGCCCAGACCCAAATGGCAAAAAAAATCAGCAAGTAGCTAGTGGAGCATTTAGCACCTTGAGTAATTTATTTTGTATGTGTAAACTATTTGCCAACAAGTTTGCCATGTGTTTGCATTTTGTTTCTGCTGTCGCCAAATGGCTAAACACTCACTTATTGCAGGAGTCTGGTTATTTAATGTCATACTGTACTTAGAAACCAATGGAAAAACACATACAAATACAACTCTAAAAATTAACACGTGCACAAGTTTTACCTTGTTTTACCTTTACCAGACCAGTGAATACTGGAATTCTGGGGCTCCTGTGTTGTACCAGCCTTGAACAGCAGAGAGACTGAGTGTTTAAATTGTGCTACACACCTGCAAAGCAACTTGAGAGTAGTACCGTTGACAAACTCTTCCTTCTAACTCTACAGGTGCCCTGCTGGCTCCGCCCTCGAGACCGCACTCGTTCACCAGAGGTGCTGAACAACGTGTCGCGTCCAACAACTCTTCCCCTCCGCATCCCGCCGCGCATCTCCATCACACAAGCAGACACTGACAGGTCTACACACAATTTAACTTCAAACCATTGATTTCTCATTGCAGGTAGCTTTACACCATGTTTCGTTTCTTTCTTCCCTAATCATCAAACCTTTTCTCCTCTCGCTCCAGTTACGAAGCAGAAAATGGCGTGTCACCAGGTCACACCCCGCTGGGTTCGCAGAGTCCAGGCCTCACCATACACACCTCCTTTCCCCAGGGCCAGAGAAGAGAGTCCTTCCTCTACCGTTCTGACTCGGACTACGACATGTCGCCCAAGACGGTCTCGCGTAATTCCTCCCTTGCCAGCGAAGGGTGAGACTCAGGAAGAAAGACAAAACGAATGAGTGGGAGGGGGAACGAACATGTATGTTTGTATCCATATGATTCATTATTTTTGCTTCCTCTCTTATTTTTTACTGTCTCTGTCCCTACATCTCTCAGGCACACAGGAGAGGACTTTATTGTCACACCTTTTGCTCAAGTGAGTCTCATTTAATAGATCAATCGTTTGTCAACTGTAAATTATTGATAATTTTACTATACATTATGTAAAAAGGTAAACCATGGGAAGTTACTACACTTGGCCATGTATGTTTCTATGACGTTATTCCATATATCCTGTGATACTGTGTGATTATTTAGGTACTGGCCAGTCTGCGATCAGTACGGAGCAACTTCACCATTCTTGCCAACGTCTCCACACCAACAGTCAAGTCAGTACCAACTCATTGTCCTGAAATGTTCCACTTCTGCACATTATGATGGTATGTTGTCATACGTGTAACCAGCCAAAGAGGTAGTTCAGACTTTATATATCAAACTACAACAAAATGCTACTGTCTCAGTCCGCTGCAGCTGCAGAATGGTGGACTTCACATGAAATGCAGATTATTATTTTAAACCTTGTTACACGTCATTTTGGAAGAAGCAAAAAGAACAATCCCTTTTTGTTAATAGAAAGCGAGACACATTTCTATGTTATATCTTTTATATTCCCAATGTCCAAATCAATTCAGTACGGCTTTATTTATAACTGTTAGGGCAATTATATAAAGACAATAGAAAGGATAAGAAAGACAAACGTTGTTAATCACAAAACTAATTGGTAATAAATAAATATCTATAAAAATGTTTTTTAAAAATTATCTAAAAAGATACACAGAGTTAGGAAGGCCATTGCTGACTTGTTGTTGCTAACTTTGGTCAGTCTGCAGTTTCCGGTAGGTCTAACTAATTGTGGGGTCCTCAGGAGGTCTCCTCTGGGTGGAGTTTGCGTCAGTCCCAGGGCGTCACTGTCAGACCAGCAGTACCAGCAGCTTGCCCTGGAAACACTGGAGGAGCTGGACTGGTGCTTGGACCAGTTGGAGACCATTCAGACACATCGCTCTGTCAGCGAAATGGCCTCCAACAAGGTACGTATTTTTGACAAGTTTTATTTTAGATTTTGCTGAATTTATGTATGTATTTATACTTAATTGACTTGTATTTCTGTCATGCTCGCATTCTTCCACAGTTTAAGAGGATGCTGAACAGAGAGCTGTCCCACCTCTCAGAGATGAGTCGTTCTGGTAACCAGGTGTCTGAATACATTTCCAGCACCTTCATGGGTGAGTGGGACCAGAAGCTGATTTCTGTCCACATCGCATATTTGACCTTTACCAAATAAAAACAATAAATCTGTGTGTGTGTGTGTGTGTGTGTGTGTGTTTGTCTATCAATCTGTAGACAAGCAGAATGAGGTGGAAATCCCGTCTCCCACTCTGAAAGACAAATCTATGAGTCACATCAGTGGAGTAAGGAAACTGTCTCACAGCTCCAGTCTCTCCAGCGCTTCAATGCCTCGCTTTGGTGTTAACACAGACCACGAGGATGAGCTTGCCAAGGTCTCGTCTGTTTGTTTTTCTCTGACTAACATAAAATAAGTGCACAAATCAATCCCTGTTCACTTGTGGACTGTGCTCTGTAAACACTGATTATATATATTTTTTATCTTGTGCACACAAGATAATAAAGTATCCTCTTTCAGGTGTTCAGGGGCTGTGTAGATTTGAGGCTTTTCTTTTGCATTGTTTTAGTTGTCTCTTCCAGCAGGATGGAGAACGTGTGCACTTTTGTTTTTGTAGTGATTTACTGCAGAGGCTCTTTCAGTGTCACATTGAGACTAACATGAGAGGTTTCTTCTCAGTGATGCATTTGAAAAAAACATAATAAAATACAATAATATACTAGATTATTACATATTGTTAAATGATTTTAGTGTTTTAGTACTGTAACACTTTCCATTGAACACCAGGCCACTTACAGGCTGATGGGCTCATAGGATTGAATCGTACAACGCTGGAGGTCCATATTTGCATCACATAAAGATGGAATCTTTTGTTATTCCTTATGTCTGCTTTTTTGTGCTTGGCGCCTCATTGTTTAATTCCAACCACTCTTTAGCACCAATGTTTGGAAAGCCCACGGTAGGATGGAAACTGTCCCTGGTTCTGCATCTTCATTTAGCAGTGCATAAATCAGATGTAACTAAAAATAACAAGACAGCCACGCTGCCAGTACTACAAGGCTGCAGGCACAGCGATGCTTTGAGCTAAACGCTATCATCAACAATTTTTGCCTCATTATGGGGCGAAATGAAAGGTTAATGGATCACAGTGATTCACTGACATTGCCACCCATTCAGCCACACCTTTAGCGTGGTTAAAACAATTTTTGTGGTCTGTCTTTATCATTCAAAACTGGAGGTAGCAGTCAGTCAAGTAGGTCGCAGATATTCCCGTTACAGTTCTTGACACCATGACACATAGATTAAAGGATCAAGCTTATTCTGAGTGACATAAAGGGAATGTCTGCTGTGTGGTCATTGTACAAAAGGCACCAGACCTCAAGTGACTCAAGCCTTAACCATCCGTGCAATAGGACCTAACATTTTTATATTGATAAATTGTCACATTTTGCCTTGTCTTCCTTTACTTGTGTTGGATCGGGAATTTATCTCTGTGATTCACATTTATTTTCTTTAAAAGTTATTTAATTGCTTTTTGTTTTCTTGAAAAATTGATTAATCGTTCACTCTAAAATGTCAAAAAACATTTACGAAAGCCCCCGGTGAGGTATTAAAACGGATTCTTCTGTCCTACAAACAGTACAAAGCCCAAAGGTATCCAGTTTACTCTCACAGAAGACTGAGAAATTCATTAATTATATGTATTTGTTTGATTAGTACATAAGTTTGGTAATTGATCGGTAATGTTGGTAATTATTTGATTTATTGGGTTAAATGTCTAGCTTATGTTAAATTTTGATGCAAATTTAAATGATGTCTTGGCACCCTCTGAGCACCCTGATAGCACCATCTCTGCTTGTGACCCTTTAAAAATGACATGTAAATGCTTTTATGTTTTTGTATTTAAAAAGTTGATGTGTTTTTGACTCAAAAAGTCATATTATGGTTGTTTGTGTGTGCGGTGTTTGACCAGGAGTTGGAGGATCTGGACAAGTGGAGTTTTAACATATTCAGAGTAGCAGAATTCTCCAACAACAGACCCCTCAGCTGCATCATGTACACCATCTTCCAGGTAAACAATGTGAATGTGTGTTTTCTGTGGGATCGTCCTCACCTGAAGTGTTTGAAGGTTTGCTGATGTACATGACGTTCTCCCCCGTTGGAGAGAGTGTGTGTGTGTGTTTGTGTGTGTGTCAAGTTCTGGCTCCTCTACTCCCTCCTCAGGAGCGAGAGCTGTTGAAAACATTTCGTATCCCAGTCGACACCTTTGTCACTTACGTGATGACCCTGGAGGACCATTACCATGGAAACGTAGCGTACCACAACAGCCTCCATGCTGCAGATGTCACCCAGTCCACACACGTCCTCCTCTCCACACCTGCTCTTGATGTATGTTGACGTGCAGACTCACACACACACACACACACACTCACATACTGGTTGGTGATCAGATGTGGACAGCCTGTAAACAGATTTGCATCAGTGATGGAAAAACTCTCATTATTTTTGTTTTGTTTGACAAAAATACATTTCTTTCATAGAATAAAATTAGGTGCAGCAAAATAAAACTTAATGAAATTATTATCAACCCACAAGTTATGGCTTAGTCCAAGGTGGATCATGAATGGTTAAAAACAACCAATCACATGGAAAAACAACATGACAACAATGTGTGACAATTTATTTATTTGTTTATTTAAACAAATGTACATAAATGCTTAAATCCTTTGTCTATTTTGTAATGTTATATATCACCTTACCTGACAGTTTTTGTTTGTTTTTTACTGTCAACCTGTGCATCACTAGTGATCCATTGTCTCTGTTCAATAAATAATAAAATAGACAACTTAATGTAAATGTGAGTAACATAATGTAATGTATATGTAAAATGTAATAATCATTTTTAGAACTATAAATTGTTTTGGTAATACTATTTATTTCAAGGCTGACATAACACTGTCATAACTGTGTCATGAAAACTGGAATATGAATGAAAGTTTTCATGTTTACGACGCTGAAAGTGCTGAAAACATTGTCACTATGATAACACATTATTATATATTTTACCTGAGGTTGAGATAATGTATTTGAGACACTGTAGCAAGAGCATTTGGCAGTGTCAAAACATGTTTATTCCTCTTGTCCTTTCTTGTCCTCTTGGGACAAAAGACAGAACTGAAAGTGTTGTAATTATAAAGAGTGAAAAGAAAACTGAGCTGCTGATTATGCACCAAAGTCCCTCTGAGAAAGTAAAAACATGATTCAACAACAGAGTGATTTTATTGCAAATTATATTTTTAAAGTCATGATTTTACCCATATTCTTAATATTCTAAATAAACAGACAGATTTTCTATAGATAAAAACTTAAAATAATTGATGGAAATAAGTGTTTGGTGAGTTGTTCTGTTCTCATTTTCTCTGAATTTCGTCCGTCTTCTTCTGCCCTCCTTTTCCCTTTCAGGCTGTCTTTACTGACCTGGAGATCCTCGCCGCCCTGTTTGCTGCAGCGATCCATGATGTAGACCACCCCGGCGTTTCCAATCAGTTCCTCATCAACACCAGTGAGTGCACACACACACACACACACACACACACACACACACACACACACAGACAGCAGGGAAAATATGTCTAGATTTCTGCACAAACTGTGTTTACACCCCCTCCCCTGTCCCTCTTCTCTGTGCTTAGACTCGGAGCTGGCCCTCATGTATAATGATGAGTCAGTTTTGGAGAACCACCACCTCGCTGTGGGCTTCAAGCTTCTGCACCAGGAAAACTGTGACATCTTCCAGAACCTCACCAAGCGACAGCGCCAGAGCCTTCGCAAGCTCGTCATCGATATGGTGAGAACATTGTCTAGCACACCTCACACCACACCAGTGAAATTATAAACTAATACACAAAATCCAATTTAACGTTAGATTTTTTGGAGCAGTTACTTTTGGTTACATTTTCTTTTAGCTGCCAATGCTGACAAATATCAATATGTATCATTTAATAGTTTTTAGATGTGTCTTATTTATTTGCTATTGACAGATCTCACGTTGTCTTAAAGGTGCCACTTTATGTATTTTATATGATTCTTATTTTTCATTTTTAACTGCAGTTTTATTTATTTATAAAATGATACAATTATTACCAGTTATTTTATTTAATTTTGATCTTTTTTTTATGTTGTTTGTCTACAACTCATTGTTGCTGCCTATTTTGACCAGGACACCCTTAAAAAAGTTTAAATTTAAGTTAAATTCAAAATTAAATCTATCTAATTTGATCTGGTCTGCATCTTTTTAATTAAAAGTCTTTCCTACTTTACAGCCAGTCAGTTGGATTTCTTGTAAAACAGCAATATATAAATACTTAGTATTAAACATATTCTTTAAAAGTTAGCCTAAAGCCTGTTTTTGTCCCTACTTTCACTTTTATTTGACAGAATAACAGAGATTAGGTTGGATCTTTTGTCTTTGTCTAGTTTTGTCTTACTGTCTCTGTCTACAGGTGTTGGCCACAGACATGTCCAAACACATGACCCTACTGGCTGACCTGAAGACCATGGTGGAGACCAAGAAGGTGACGAGCTCTGGCGTGCTGCTCCTGGACCACTATACAGAACGGATACAGGTAACGTGTCCTCTATACATGCCAGTAAAGTGTGTTAAATCACAGCTGTGAAATCTGGATATGTCTACTGTATTCTGTGAATGTACTGTTTTATATATATACTGTACAATATGTGTGTGTTTTTAGGTGCTGAGGAACATGGTGCACTGTGCAGACCTGAGCAACCCCACCAAGGCGTTGCCGTTATACAGACAGTGGACGGAGAGGATCATGGAGGAGTTCTTTCGACAGGGTGACAAGGAGCGAGAGAGGGGGATAGAGATCAGCGCCATGTGCGACAAACACACCGCTTCTGTGGAGAAGAGTCAGGTAATACTCGATCTCTCTCTCTCTCCCTCTCCCATCTACTTTAAATGTGTAATTGTTAATACAATGAATCCAGAGTAATGAACTGGAAACTGTGTTTGTATATGTGGATATTACACAAACTCTCTGTCAGAACACAGAATGGATAATGAGCAATGGACAAGCAACTTCAGAAGCTAAAATAAACATAACAGCCATGAAATAAGAAACTGTTTGGTGAAGCTTAAACCCTTCAGTTTACGGTGAGACTGCCATAAGTGCAAATGGTTATTTTTGAGGTCATTGTTGTCATTTACAAACACTGCAAAGTTTTGTAATGTGGCTGTGTGGTGGAAAATAGCTAATTTCATAACGATAAAAATGACACCATAACGGAAGACTTCATTGGCAAAGAGGAACAGTGCAAAATGCAGTTTGTGGCCGAAAATGCCACATCTTCAAAAATTACCATTTGAGTTGAATCAACACCTCTGGCAACCAATAAAACTCTAAACATGTTGAGTATCCCTAAAATATTATTTATCATTCTAAAATTATATAAATAGTTTTCTTCATCTTTGTATTAACACGCAGGCCGTAGACAACAACTAATAAGTCAAAGGATCACCAACATTATTATAATTAATTGTGAGAAGGACATGAATATATGTACTAAATGCCATGGCAATCAATCCAATGGTTGTTGAGAGATGAGAGTAGTATTTCATTGTCCACCAACATGAAAAAGCTTCATTTTTTCCAAAGTAATGGAGCCTGGAATAACTTAAGATACAATTCTGGCACTCATCAATATTTTGTTATTGTATTTTGGATGCATGAATAACAAATGCATTCCTGTTTCAGTGTCCAACTGGCAGCGTCTACAGCCATGTCTCGTTTAATATCAATGATGTAAAACAGTGACGTTTTTCCACCTCAAGATTGTGGTCACCGATTCTGTACTTAGTTAAAATTTTGAGATGCTCTGCCAGCTGGATTTCTCTGTACTTTAAAGGAATAGTTGAACATTTTGCGTAATACACTAACTGTCTTTCTTTCTGCGAGTTAGATACCACATTGATACCACATTCATGTCTGTACGGTAGACCTTAAGCTGGTACCGGCAGCCGATTACTTTAGCTTGGCATAAAGACTAGAAACGAGGGGAAACACCTAGCCTGGCTCTGTCTTAAGTAACAACATCTGAAATACGAAATAAAAAAACAATTTGTAAGTCTACAGGTGCGGGACTGTTCCTTGAGTCTTGTTCCTGTGAGGTCCCTGTAAAACTACAAATCTGCCTTTTTACACATGGATGGAATGAACAAACAAGATAATGTGTTAATCAGTGAGCTTTAGAGAAGCTGGCATATTTTGTTACCTTTGGACAGGGCTAAGCGAAGTGAACTGGCTGCAGCCTGTGGCTTCATATTTATAGCAAGAAAGCAAATAAGCATATTTCCTAAAATGTCTGATTTCTTTTTAACATCACCTATTATCGTGGCCTGAGATGTGGTTCTTCTCTTCTAGGTTGGCTTCATCGACTACATTGTCCACCCGCTATGGGAGACGTGGGCTGACCTGGTGCACCCGGACGCCCAGGAGCTGCTGGACACACTAGAGGAGAACAGGGAGTGGTACCTGAACACCATGCCCCAGTCTCCCTCACCTCCCCCGGACAGACACCTGCAGCATGACCGCTTCCAGTTCGAACTCACCCTAGAGGACCTGGAGCACAACAACCATAACCACATACACCTGAGCAACAGCAGCCAGACAGCCATCTGTGATGACAGCATCGAAGACCAAATGCAGGACGGCCGGGCGGAGCTGAAAGGCGAGGAACAGAACCATGAAGAAAATGAGAAAGAAGACGACGAGAATCACAACAGCGAACACAACGGAGTCGGAGATGAAGAGGAGGAGGAGACTACAGAAAGAGAGGGAGAAGATGAAGAGGAGGAGCATGGAGAGGACCAAGTAGAAGAAGAAGGAGGAGGATGTCAGACAGATGAAACAGAAAGAGGAGAGGAAGTGAATGATGCAACGGAGGATGAGGAGACTAAAGAACAGGAGGAAGAGAATGAGCAAAATCAGGATGTTGAACAAGGGCAGGAAGAGGGTAATGAGGAAGGGGGAAATGATGAAGAGGAAGGCGAGGAAGGTGCAGAAAATGAGGGCGGAGAAGGTGAGGAAATGTTGGAAAGTGAAGAAGTAGAAGGGGATTTAGAGGGAGAAAAAGAAGGTGAGGGGGGAGAGGAAATGGGAAATGAGGAGGGCGAAGTGGAGGAAACTGTGGAAAAAGAGGAGGAGGTAGAGATGGAGGAGAAAGAAGAGGAAGGTGCAGCAGAGATGGAGGAAAATGTAGAACAAGAGGAGGGCAAGCAAGAGGAGGAGGAGGAGGAGGAGGAGGAGGAGGTAGAAGAAGCAGAAGATGTCAAAGAGGAGAAAGGAGAGCTGGAAGAAGAGGAAGAGGAGGAAGCGCCAACTGAGGATGAAACTGGAAAGGAGGAAGAAGAAGAAGAAGTGGAAGAGGAAAGTTAGTTGGGTGTAAAAACACAACTAACAGAGTTAGCAAGGAATGGTTAAGAAGTAACTGCTTCCTCATAGAAGAGGATATAGAGTTGAAGATGCCCTTCTTTCCTCTGACCACTTAATCATGTGACCCTCTCAGCTGAAGGCCAGTGTATGCTCAACTACAGACGTCTAAAACCTCAGAGAGAAACATTTAAGACGGACAGTACAGCACCGGACCCAAACCTACGCCTTCCCGAACAGCCAGATTGTTGCAACGTCTTGATCAACTGGTAGTATCACCGAATATCTGTACATCCATCACTGCCGTAGGGAATAAACTGGGGATAATAAAAGGGGGGGGGACCCTTTGTACTCCTGAAAATCTAAAAGAAACCTGAAATACGTACATGCAAATAAGTGCTACCCATTATCTCTCTGTCACTGTCTCGTTTATGAGGAAGATACCACACACACACACACACCCCGACCAACAACTGTTAAAAGAATGTCAACTTCCTCCGTTCTGTCAGAAAAGAGAAAAAAATAATGAAAAAAGTCTGGAAAGTGTAGTTTGTCGTCTTTTATTTACTACAAAACTTTCCACCTCTGAACAGGACGCCGAGTAGACCTTTGGGCTCTGGTCTAGGAACAGTTTAACCTCCTCACATACTAACCTTAAAGCAACAATGCTGGCTCGCTGAAAGCACTTCTGAATAATATCTGGACTGTTTTGTCAAGGTGCAGACATTTGCAGTCCAGCTCAAAAGGCTGACCTGTGTGTAACACGTCGATGTCGGTTCATGTTTGAAAATAAACCACACCCAGTATTCATCCCATCACGACTGTTTCACCACTCCCAGACTGTGAGTGTGATTCCCGGGTGATTTCGTGCCAAAGTGTCCCACGACCAGCACTGAGCAATTCAGCCTTCCTCCACACAAGGTGGCTACTCGTCCGTGAAGCAATGAACTGTGGGACCAGGGTAACGGGTGTGATGGTCTTCCACAAGTCCCATTTTTAGTTTTGTTTTTGTAAAAATGGTATTTGGCACTTTATCTAACACCCCTGTTACATATATGTACATAATAAACATGTATTTTAATCTGCTGATGTCATAATAAATAGGATCAATGAAGTTGATGGATTGGTGTTTTTAATTGCAGGTCTCTGGCATTCATCATTCTCCCCTGAACAATACTGCAAAAGATTTATCCACCATGATACAGTAAGTAGTACTTTTGGGAACTCTTTATTTTATGGTCTATAATTTTCTAGGTGGTTTGGAAAGTAGAGCTGAAATATGTTAATTGATTAATCAAATCAAATTAATTGACAACAATTTTGAGAATCGTTACTCGTTTGAATCTTCACTTTTTTTCCTGATTAGTTGTTTTTAACATTGTAAATTAAATATATTTGAATCCAATATATATAATAAAATTTGTTAATGGTTGGGAAATTGTGACATTGACAGGTATTTTATAGGCTTAACTATGGATGGATTCATTATTCTGTAGGTTAATCGACAAATAAAATCATTAGTTGCTGTGCTTGTTGAAAGAACTGTCACTGTATACTAAATATAGGAAAACAAAGAGTATTTTACTGGTGAACTTCCAATTATTTGCTGTAACAGTCTTTTTGTACATGACTGGTGAACTGAACATGCAAAAATCTACAGGAAAGCATGTATAAAGAATAATGTTAGAAGTAATCAATTAATATTTAATAGGGTTTAAGTGAAGCACTTAATTCAAGGCAATTCTTATTTTCTCCATGGTTAGTACTGTGTTATCTCCAGGAAATCTGAGAAATGATTAGGAAATTACAACCCACCTTGGATAACTGACCTGGATGACTGAGAATCTTCACAGAAATTACAACACCATAAAATAATGTAGACCTGAAATACTTATTTTGATCATCAAATGAACAATTTGTTAAGTAAAAGTGTCAATAATTCTTATTGTTCCAGCAACTCAAATGTGAGGAATTAATGCTTCTCTTAGGTTTATGTGATAATAAACTCTGTATGTTTTAAGTTTTAGACAAAACAAGCAATTTAATGACATCATCTTGGTCTTTTGGGAATTGTGATGTGCAATTTTTTTAATTTCTTTACTTTTTTTCTAGATTCAATGAATAACAAAGAAACAAATCAGTTGCAGCCCTAAGGTTTTACTGAACAGCTTGCTGCTATATTGTGCTTCACTACGACAGTCATTGACAAGCTTTTTAAATAGAAATCTGCATTAGTTGAGCTTGTTTTACTCTGAGACACTTCTTTCTTTCAGTGTGTGATTTAATTGTTACCAAATGGGTTTCTCTGTTTTAGTCCACACTAAAAAATACGTCCAAGACCGAAACTGGGTCACTTCAGACTGGACTATAATGAGACTTAAGGATGATTATATTACTATAAAAATATTTTCTAATCTTTGGATTGGGAGATTTGGTGAGACAGAGAATTAGACCTTTTCATGTCACATGCATTTGTATTTATTTATGACATATGACAGACAGTGTTGGACTCACAGGCAGACAAGCATTCAAAAACAATATTAAAATTGGCTGCAATTCAATTGAAATCTTTTGACAAAGTGTTGCCTGTTTTGAACTTAACACTTATAAATGATTAAGCAGGTTAATTTGTTGCTCTGGGTTTCACAGTACAAAACAACTCATCAGGAAACACTGATCTGGTCATATGAACAGTAACGTAGACGAGTTAACCAAACAGTCTAAACTCTGTGGTGGCTGAGAGAGCTCAACCCACTGAAACGTAAGAAACCACTACAAGAAAATTAAGAACTTTTACTTATAAATGTGAAGTCTGTTTTGTCAAACTGCTAAAATAAATAAATAAAACACAAGCAAATTATAAAGTCACAACAGAATAGAAGTTTCTGGGCTGCATTAAATGTTAATATTTTCATTCTGGTTGCATAATATTCAGTTGGTCAATTAACTTCCTGTTTAAGAGTTTACATGTTCTCATGTATTGGGAAGGAAGTGGGAGCTCTTATTGTGAGAAAAAAAAAAACACTAAAATGTTAATGGACAGGAAGACAACCTTTTGAAAGTATTCAAGCATCATCTTGAAACCCTACACTTATGTCTTTATTGGCGATGGCCATGTTCACAACACTGAACAGTTTTTTTCACAATAAGAGCCCCCACTTTGTCCCACTACATCATAACATGTCATCTCTCATACAGGCAGTCATTTTGCCAACTGAACATACTGCAACACTGGTGAACATGCAACTAATGAGAACAAGGTAACAAATAGGTGAAGCCGTTATCTGTTAAAACAAAGTTAAAACTAAAGTAAACATTCTTTGCTTGTTTTAACGTCATTATTTAGCAGACATCAGTTTTTACTGTCCTGCGGAAATTTCTCTATTTGCTGTGTTTCTGTATATGCAGCACATTTCTTTTATTCCACGTGTTGTCAAATTGGAAAAAGTGTTTTTTGATTTGCTTGTGCTTAATCTATTTGCAGAATTTAGTTTTTTCTTTTTTCTAAATGTTGCCCATGTTTTTGTCACAGTGGTGAAGATCTTTCCTTTATTTGCTTGTGTTTTAAGTTGCAGTGTTTAGAGCTCTTGGCCACCAACTTGTATAAAATGTAACATCAGTGCAATGGTACCATTACGCTTTTCAGCAATTATACAACCCAAAGCAAAAAAAACTAAAACAAAGGCACAACAAATTACATCCAAATATAGATCTCTGAAGGTTTCTCACATGCACACATACATTCTTTAAAGCAGCCACATTCTTAAAATAAATACATATTGAAAACACCCTCTATCTTAAGACACTTTGGTAATTTTGAATGTCACAAATCCACAATGGCAAATAAATACCAAATTTCATATGAAGACCAGCTACATGTCAGCATTCACATGGTTGCAGTGAACATACTGTGTCATCAAACTGCACTTGAACAACAGGCAGCAGAAACACCACACTTAAGACACCACAGCAGAATACCTGAATCAGGTACAATCAGGGATGTACCAACCCACCTGAAATGTTACCCACTTTTTTAGAATAATATAAATCCTGTAATTATTTCTCGGTATGCATCATACTTGAAACTATGTTATAAAATTCAGAAATGATAGACTTTGTTTACCTCATGAGGATCAACTGTAGGCATGGCCACAACTTTCCCACCTTCGATTTTCTTTCTCACTGGGTTCAAAACCTTAATTTCAGAGGTTTCTTTGGGTTTTTTTGTTTGTTTTTTTTAAAATCCAAGTCTCTTAAGTTTTTAGTGGTTAATCAAAGAGGTCCAGTCTGGAAAGTTGTGAATCTCTGCGGTCTCGCTCAGCTGTTTGTCTCCTTGTGTCAGAGTCAACTTGTAGCGTAGACGCACCTTTTTCTAAAGAAAAGATGGAAAGATGTCAGATTCTTAAGAGGCAAATAGAAAAAGTGAATGAATAAATATAGAGTTCCACATTGTGCTATGGGTTATCTAATTTTATCAATTACTATTTTTTTATATAGGTAATTTATCTCAACTGTTAACATTCAAGTACTTCACAGTTAACCTTATTTTAGACAGTATTATAATGTCTAATTCAGAATATTGTTTATCTGCATCTTTCATGTCATAAATAGGAATATCCTTGTCTACCTGACATTTTAGTTAATTTCTAAAAACCAAGAAAAAGTTAATTAATTAATGCGTTAACGCAATAATAAAGGTGTTATCGTGCCCAGCCCTAAATAAAATCCAAATTATAAACACGAACACATTGAAATGCATTGATTCTTCTACACACACACACACACACACACACAGTACTAAAGTCATTCTGTTTCATGATAAATCAACAGCGCTCCCCAAACTCACCTTCTGAGGATTAGCCAATAGGACGACTTGGGAGATGGCAGGCGGAGACAGGAGAGGGTTGTAAGCAGGTAGGTGTGTCCCTGACGCAGGCTGAAGTTTCATTAACATGGTCTGCAGGAGAGGTATTAAGACTCACAATTAACTGGATATTCAAGTCATTACTAGAAAACAGGTCATCACAGCTGAAAGCGCTGAATGATGGAAAACAACGGGGAAGGGAATGTGTAAAAAGTGTAAAAAATTATTTAAAGAGTCTGACAAGTTTGAAGATGATGCCTTGCTCCAGGAGGGGGCGCCAGAACTTCAACACATAATCTGCATACACGAGCATCACCTTCCAACACTGAGATACTACCGGTGTGCCAAGGTTGGTTTAAACATGGTCCTTACATGTGAAAACTGAAATCATTGATTACTATCCAACTGGTTGGACAAATTATTTGCACAAGTGATTATTTTTCCAATGCATCTGTTAATTGCTCAACTGAGAGGATGTTGAAAATTAAAGGAACAATACCCATGACAAGTTCTCAGTGCCTGTAGTGAAATTGTCTGTTCTATCCAAATGGACAGTTCAAAATCAAAAACATTACATTCACAATGATATAAAAACACAGAAAAGCAGCACATGCTCACATTCAAGAAGCAGGACCCAGATATTGTTTTACTTTTTTGGTAGTTCACTGACTTAAACCATCGACATTTGAACATGTCAGTCACAGACAGTGCAGTACGAGATCCCATGTCCCATATTTTAAAAAGCAATGCACTTAAAACTTATAAAGGTCTACCACTGCCTGCTACAGATGCTGCTCACCTGCACTTTATTACTGTTACTTTGATAACAGTCTCTTTGGAGTTTATTACCTTTGGGACAGCAGCTTGAAACAGGAAGTCTTTCACATCAAGGGCAGATGTGTTCACTGTGGAGATGACAACCACAGCAACACCTGGATGACCCAGCGGAGAGTCTTTAGCAAAATGAAGGGAGACATGGATCCCGCCCTGATCGAATAAAGTGATTGGCTCAAGATTACCTATAAACAAACAAGAAAATGACAAACATTTAGACAGGATCCAGAGGGCAGTAAACACATCACAGAGTGAAGGATGTGAATAAATTATTAGTAGTAAAAAACAGCCGTTTCTCCATATTAACTGTGGTTTCAGGAACATACTAGATTTGATGGTCTCCATTGGAACAAAGATGTTGTTCAGGACTTGTTGGGGACAAGAGCTCTCCTCCAATTTCACTGGAGATCCCAACACTTTGTTGAGTTGACTCTGTGGGGGTGACCTAACAGAAGAAAAGGTAATAATATTAATAAGGAGGTAAATGATGCCAGAAAACATCTCCATATAGTAATAACAAAATGGATAGTGTATCTTGCAGAAATGTCTGCTTTTGCGTGTTCCCAGAATGCAATATCACATCCTGGGCTAGAGCCTGACTGATTCTTGAGGTAGAGACCAAAACCTGAGAATAACAAAGTACAACAAATGTCTCCACAGTTGAACAATTAACTTTATTATCCAAGATGACAGTGTAAATATAACTGTACATTTTGAACAGCAAACATAATTTAAATTGTAACTATTGTAAAAACATAAAATAAAACTATAAGAAAGGTGAATTGAGAAAACAGTCAAATATACAGAATAAAATGTTTTTTGTTAAAGTGTTAAAGTTCTTTTTGCAAGTCCGCTAACACACATAAGCAGACTGATTTTATGATGTGGGCAGGTACTTTCAGCTCTGAACTAAATGCTGTAGAAGCATGATACAGTGCTATCACTATCAACCTTCCTTCTTACAAAATCATTAGAAATAGTGATTCACCAGCACATTCTACATTTTGCTCCTTGCTTTTCTCCAGTCTTACCAAATGTTAGTCTCATTCGATGTAGCACTGCTCCCCCCACATCCACGGGCTCTCAACAAAGGGCCTCTCCCTCCATTCTGCCCCGCATTCGTCATCTGAATCTCTTCATTAAGCTGACAGAAAAGATAAACTGTGTTAAACACTCAAAAATCCCCTTTAAACTTTTGTCTTTAACTGTACATCCATGTCTCACCTGCAGCAGTTCTTCATAATATGACCTTGAAGTCTCCTGAGTCTGTTTTGGGACCAGATTATCTAACTCTGTAATTAGAGGACACCGGATCATTACGTCATGGCACATATTCATCAGGGTCAACAAACTAAAAATAGGAAATGCACGCCTACCGAATAAATTAACGTCTTGGTCAGCCACTGAGTGGAAGGTACTTCCGAGAAGGGAGGAAAACATGGGTGAGGAGGATTTGAAGGATGGTGGTGAATCAGCTTTTCTGTGTGTCTGTGGAGAGTCCAGTGCTGACAGGTCGATGAGGTGGTAGCTTTTAATC